CCCCGCGGGCACTGTATAAATGCAAGTCGTCGTCCTCGTCGTTATTCTTATTATTATTAAATTGAAATAAAATAATCTGCAAAAAAAACCTCATGCTTCCATACTCTCTGACTGTGGATGCATTCAATCCACCTTCTGGCCTTTGGGGTCATTAGAAACCTGCGCTTTTGAAAGAATTGTGAGAACTGATCCAATTGTGATGGGAAAAGTTACGCTGATTCATTATCCACCAGTGACTGAGCAGCTGTGTGTGTGCTGTGCTGGGCTGTGTTGTGCTGGGTGTGCTGGGCTGTGTTGTGCTGGTCTGTGCTGGGCTGATCTGTGCTGGTCTGGGCTGGACTGTGTTGTGCTGGGCTGGTCTGTGCTGGGCTGTGTTGTGCTGGTCTGTGCTGGGCTGTGTTGTGCTGGGCTGTGCTGGGCTGTGTTGTGCTGGTCTGTGCTGGGCTGTGTTGTGCTGGGCTGTGTTGTGCTGGTCTGGGCTGTGCTGGTCTGTGCTGGGCTGTGTTGTGCTGGTCTGGGCTGTGCTGGTCTGTGCTGGGCTGTGTTGTGCTGGTCTGGGCTGTGCTGGGCTGTGTTGTGCTGGTCTGGGCTGTGCTGGGCTGTGTTGTGCTGGTCTGTGTTGTGCTGGGCTGTGTTGTGCTGGTCTGGGCTGTGCTGGTCTGTGCTGGGCTGTGTTGTGCTGGTCTGGGCTGTGCTGGGCTGTGTTGTGCTGGTCTGGGCTGTGCTGGGCTGTGTTGTGCTGGTCTGTGTTGTGCTGGGCTGGGTTGGATTGGGCTGTGTTGTGCTGGTCTGTGCTGGGCTGTGTTGTGCTGGTCTGGTCTGTGCTGGGCTGTGTTGTGCTGGTCTGTGCTGGGCAGAGCCAGGGCTGCAGTGACGGGCTGTGGCCGGCAGGCGGCGCTCCTGTAGTGCAAACAGCACCTCAGGGTGTGTGTGTGTGTGGGGGGGGGGGGGGGGGGGGGAGAGGGAGAAAAAAAAATCCAATCCCATTGAGGGGCACAAGGCAAATCCTTAATAATCTCCAGTCACCATCGCACAGCGGCTGCGGCGCTGTTTTGCATTGAAAGGCATCGTGTTTTTCTTCCAAAATAAAGTTGCATCAGTGGGAACATTGCCCCCTCTCCCTCCCCCCCCTCTCCCTCTCTCTCCTCCTCCCCCCTCCCCCCTCTCCCTCTCCTCCTCTTCCTCCCCCTCTCCTCCTCCTCCCCCCTCCCCCTCTCTCTCCCCCCTCTCCCTCTCCTCCGCCTCTCTCTCCCCTCCCCCATCTCCTCCTCCTCCCCCTCCTCCCCCTCTCTCTCCCTCTCCCCCCATCTCCTCCTCCCTCTCCCTCCCCTCTCCTCCTCCTCTCTCCCCCCACTCCCTCTCCCTCCTCCTCTCACCCCTCTCCCTCTCCCCCCCTTCTCCCTTTCCTCCCCTCCTCCCCCTCTCCCCCCTCTCCCTCTCCTCGCCTCTCTCTCCCTCCCCCCCATCTCCTCCTCCCCCTCCTCCCCTCTCTCTCCCTCCCATCTCCTCCTCCTCCCCTCTCCCTCCCCCTCTCCTCCTCCTCTCTCCCCCCCACTCCCTCTCCTCTCCTCCTCTCTCCCCCTCTCCCTCTCTCCCCCCCTCTCCCTCTCCTCCCCAACGAAAGGTTGCATGTTAGAAATTGTTACGAAACGTGTTAACGATGTCTTTTAAGTCTGCACTGAAATGAACCTCTGCCCCACTATTCCTTTTTAAATGTTATTAATGGTGTCTTATTCACAGGGTTTCTTCTCCTATTCCCCCTGAACATGTATTGTTACTCTGCAGGGCAGGTGCAATATCCTATTACTATTGTTAATACTAATAATAATAATAATAATAAGCCCCAAAGCATCAATCGAACACACAAACACACGCACATAAATCTCTGGAGCGATCGCCCTCTCCCCGTCTCCGCTATCGTAACTGCAATTGCAAAAGTGGCTTTTCATATACATTTTTTTTTAATTAAAAAAAACAGTTTTGGGGAATCTTTCTGCGGGTACAGGGTAACAACTGGGGGGGAAACAACATGTCAGCGAATGGAAATGTCAGAGTGTGTGTGTGTGTCTCTGCCTTTCTCCTCTCCCCTCCCACCCTCTGATGTACCTTATATCGCTTTATCAGATGTTACCTTATCACCGGTGTCTCGACATTCTCTCTGCTCTGCTGTCTGTCTGTCTGTCTGTCTGTCTGTCACCTGTCTGGTACCCAGCCTTACCTGTCTGGTACCCAGCCTTACCTGTCTGGTACCCAGCCTTACCTGGTACTGTCTCCCATCATCTGTCTGTCTGTGTCTCTCTCTGTATCCGCATCTCTCCCTTCACAGAGAGCAGCCCATCAAACAACAGGTAGCTCTCCCCCTCCCTCTGTAGCTCACAGAGCAGCAAAACACACACTCTTTCTCTCTCACTCTCTCTCCCCACCCCAGTTTCTCTCTCTCTCTCCCCCCCCAGTTTCTCTCTCTCTCTCCCCCCAGTCCTCTCTCTCTCCCCCCCCCCCCCCCCCCAACAGATCCCAAGCCCCAGCATTTCAGTGTAACTTACATTTCATCTTCTGGTCTCCCAGTCGCTCCCCATCCTCATAAATAAACAGGATCTTTAAATGCAAATATGGATCGTGGTTGAGAAATCTCTCTCTCTCTCTCTCTCGCTATGCCTCTCTTTCTCTCAGACCAGGACAACCCCCCCACTCTCCACCCCCCACTCTCCACCCCCTGCCCCCAGTCACACACACACAACACACACACACACTAAAACCTTCCTCCTTTGCACTAACAACGCGGTCTGAGTGTCACCACTCCGCAACACTAATCTCTCCATCCCCCCCACCCCCCACACTGTCACATCCCCCCCCCCACACACACACTGTCACATCCCCACCCCCCCCACACACAGTCACATCCCCCCCCACACAGTCACATCCCCCCCCACCCACCCCCCCACACACACACTGTCACATCCCCCCACACACACACACTGTCACATCCCCCCACACACTGTCACATCCCCCCCACCCACACACACTGTCACATTCCCCCCCCCACACACACTGTCACATCCCCCCCCACACACACTGTCACATCCCCCCACCCCCACACACACTGTCACATTCCCCCCACCCCCACACACACTGTCACATCCCCCCCACACACACTGTCACATCCCCCCCCACCCCCACACACACTGTCACATCCCCCCCCACACACACACTGTCACATCCCCCCCCCCCACACACACCGTCACATCCCCCCCCCCACACACACTGTCACATCCCCCCACACACACACACTGCAAAACCCCATCTCCCTTTAATCCCGTGAATTCACAGGGTCCTAGAGAATTAGGGGAGAGTTTCCACCCCCCACCCCCACCCCCACCACCCCCCACCCCACACACACAAAAAGAATCAAGGCCTTTTTTTAAAAGGATATTTTGTTTTTAATCCCCGTCTTGAAATAAACAGATTTTTTATATATTCTTTTTAAAGAAAAGGCGAGTGTGGAATATTTATAGTGATGATAATCGCGGCTACTTGTCGCTTTATCGCCTACAAAATATACAGTCAATTCAGTTTATAGTATAATATAATAATAATCCTTGCATTTAACAGAGCTCCTTATCAAGCCTTCGAGAGACCTCAAAGCGTCTTAAAGACATCTCCAAGGTTAATTCCAAAATGTTTTGGCATTGAGGAAATTGATGCGGAATTATTGGAGCAAAGGGAGGGAGAGAGAGTTAGAGAGGGAGCACAATGGGGAGGGAAAGAGGATAACAGCAGAGGATTTAATTTAATTGTAGACTAATTCAGTTGCGAATTTAGCTTCTGTCCAATTAGACTTGAGGACAGAGAGAGGGACACGCAATATGCCAGGAGTCAAGGTTCCTTATGGCTGACTTGTGGAGTCCTGTAGCTCAGTGGTTAGAGCACTCGCCTTGCAAGCGAGACACCGGGGTTCAATTCCAGGCAGCGCAAAACCTTGTGCAAGTTTCCTTACTCCACACACCTGATAATAATGCCTCCAAAACAAAACAGTAATAAATTGGTCATTTTCAATCCATGACTGTTTGTGGGACATTGCTGTGCGCAATTGGCCACCGTGTTTCGCCCACAAATATACAGTCAATTCACTTTACAGTCTATTCTGTGAAGCGCTTTGGGACGTCGAGAAGACGTGAAAAGCGCTATATCAAATGCAAGAATTATTATTATTCCAATCTGCTTTCAATAAAATAATATAATAATAATAATCCTTGAATTTGATATAGCGCCTTAGCATGTTGTTGAGACGTTTCAAAGCGCTGCATAGAATATGCTGTAAAGTGAATCAACTGTAGATTTTGTGGGTGAAACACAACAGCCAATTGCGCACAGCAATCAAAAAAAGATGGAAAATGAACGATATTGGGAGAGTCAGAGATGAGAGGATGATCTATCATTTACTGCAGTCAAATGTTAATCTTATGTCTTCTTTCTTTCTTATTCGCATTTTCAAAAATACACAGTGACTACACTGTACAGTGAACCCTATGGAGGTCCTTTGATAAAGTGGTAAGATGCTGCATCAAACGCAAGTATTATTATTACTATTATTAATTCAGCTTTAAGCAAAAGAGGTCACTCAGTGTTTATTTTCTCTGTAATCCACCCTCTCCCGGATCTGCATGTGTGTGTGTGTGTGTGTGTGTGTGTGTGCAAGGACCAGTGGGAATACACTATTAATCATACTTGCAGCTACCTGAGCCATTGCAGTGATAAAGTCAGATCTCAAAGCAGCTTCGATTAATTCGCTCGGATCGGGAAAGTGACAAAACATTCTGCTGAGATGGATTTTCCCAGCTCAGAGGCAGCCGCGAGCACCATAACCAGAGCATTCCATAGCCGGCCTGACATACAGAGCGCTCTTCACGCAGGGAAGTGCAGCAATGGGGTGACAGGAGGAGAGAAAGGGCTGGCAAGAGGCTTGAGGTTGAACAGGATATACTGTAAAGTGTAGTGACTGTGTAATTACTAGTCTCGATATTTACCCTGGAAGCTCATGAGGGCGGCACCAATGCTTCGGGAATGGGGGATGCACACGGGGAGGGGAAGAGAACAGAGAGTGAAGTCACTGACACTCCTGGCTCCACTTCAAACGCTCCGCCAAGTATCAGAGAAACCAAACCACAGGAACCCACATCTCTGCAGGAGTATAAATAGCCGCTGCTGTCGCCTTTCCTTTCATCTGCAATTCTACTTCAGATGGAGTTCAAACAGTGATGTTCTGAGGAATGCCTCCCAGCCGGCAGCCCCTATGAATATTGATACAGATTTCCATCTGCAGCCTCCTGCCTCCCTCAGCGCCAACCAGCCACCAGTCCCAACCGTGACAAGGTCAACAGCAACTTTCCTGTGGCGTTTAAACGTAAACGCGGGCACTGTGGCCATAAACCGGCGATCAAATGCCGTTTGGTACCATTCACATCTCACTCTGCCATCTATCTTCCTGCATCTGACCACATGAGATGTCATCCCAGGGTGAAAGGCACAGATACATGCAATTTACTGTTGTTCTGTTGTTGGATTCAGAAATCAGAGCAGCCTCCCTTACAACGAGTCCTCCTCCCAAACCACACCTCTCTCTCTATACCCATTAATCTTCAGATTGTGGAGTCTAACGTATGAGGAATTCTTAATGAATTGAGTTTGGAATTGCCCGAATGTGCCCCTCACACCCACACCCCCACACACGTGTACACTGATGGAGTTTAACCGACTAAAACCCCTAGTGTGCCATTGAAAGCACTGTCTGACAAGCTTTCCCTGCTACTTGTCCAGCAAGTACCTCCCTATTCAAACGGCTTGCAGGATTATTATAAAACAGACACCCAACACCCTATCCAAAGTGAACAACACTACATTGATATGATGGGCCACGATGTTAAACAAGGAAACAAACATAAAACTCAGCCAAGCGAGCGAACTAGAGAGAATACGCACCGCTCTGAGGAGAATTAAATCACTGCTGGAGCCTTGGTTTCACATTTGCTGGCAGTAGCTAAAGTATTGAACAAAAACGAAAATGCGTGTGTTGTTTCATTTTCCATAAGAACATGGCCCTGGGCTCTACAGCAATGACAGGGGATCTGCATTCATTCCACAATAAACTGCCTTCAGAACATTTATGCTGTTTGATAAAATGCTCTGTGGAATACAAAACCAGATCCGTAAATAACAAATAAGTGGGCCATCACGCATTTGCTCTTTCATCGAAACAAAGACACATAGGAATAGGAGGAGGCCATTCAAGCCCTCGAGCATGTTCCGCCATTCTATAAGATCATGGCTGACCTGTATCTCAACTCCAATTACCCGCCCTTTGCCCCATATCCCTTGATACCCTGACCTCACAAATATCTATCCACCTCAGTCTTGAAAATGAAAGGGTCCAACATTCATAGCCTTTAGGGGTAGAGAGAGAGTTCCAGATTGCATTGTTTAGAGCTGTAGTGGAGTGGTTAGCACACTCACCTCGCAAGCAAGAGGATCCGGGTTTGATTCCCGGGCCCGACAAAAACCTTAGGCAAATTTCCTTACACCACATGCCGCTGTTAACCTAGCAGTAAGTAGGAATCTGGTTGTTAGCTGATTGGCAGATCGCTTTCCAAGGTTAATAAACCCTCCAAAATAAAAAAATTGGTCAGTCAATCCACAACTGTTTGTGGGACACTGTTGTTCGCAATTGGCTGCCGTGTTTCGCCCACAAAATATACAGTCACTACACTTTACATAATATTCTGTGAAGCGCTGTGAGACGTCTCGAAGACGTGATAAGGCGCTGTATCAAATACATGGATTATGAAATGACGACACAGACAACTGGTGGTTCATTACTGTAGTTTGGAGGAGCTGCAGTGTGACTTCCTCTCATTATTGCCCTGATAGAGATTGCCTGGACGGGCGGGATGTCACTGTGCATCCTGGCAGTTCAGCTCCAGTCTCCGCTGTTGTGATGTAAATAACGATCAGCTTTGTTCTTAATTCTCTCCGCAGGTCTTGCCAATCCACTGTTGCCAGGCAACGGGGTGCTTATCTTTTGGTTTCTACGGTTACTCCAAAATAACACAATATGAAAGGGCTTGTGTGTCTGTGTGTGTGTGTGTGTGTGTGTGTGCGTGTATGTGTCTGTGCGCGAGTGGGTACAAGAGGCTGATGGATAATGCCGCGGGTGGAGGTTTGAGGTCGGTCTATGACCAGAGAGACAGCAGTAAAGAGAAGAGCTCACTCCACACTCGGGTACACTTTGTGACAGGCAGCCAGTGAGGCTCGCCAGACTAAATTCCCTTTACGTGACGCATTGGGTGAACTACAACCCCGTGTGTTTCACTGCTGCCTCTGTTTATAGTTCAGTTTAGACATCCACTTGCTTTTATTTCCTCGCCCGTTCCCCACATCCTCCCCCTCGGCTTGTAGGGACAGTTGCCCATTTTGACGGAGAAGGTGAGGGAGATGACTTGGCCCCAGGATTCCTCTCTGCGCCCAATCTCCAGACCCAACTAACTAACACCATCACTGCACTTTACAGTAAATCTTGCAGGTTGCTTTGAGAGACATTTTGATGATGTGATAAGGGGCTGTAATCAAAGGCGGAGATATTAGAGTATTCGATTCATATGTTTTGCAAGTATTGG